TTTTGTTACCTTAGATTGAGCCTTTATATTTACAGATCACTTTCCATGTTGAACTACCATGTTTCTACAGTAGCCCAGAAGGGACAAACCAGAACCAGAATTTTGAAATGCGCTGCAACCTGAGTAGCTGCTGTTCTAAGCCTTCTGTCCTCAGTGCCTCCTAAGATGGATTTATAGTTGTGCATTAATGGGTTATGCATGTATAGCTGCCACAGCTGACCTCATAAATGTAACTACGCGTTGAGGCTACAGAGGCATCTCGTGTGATTGGCTGCTTGTGATACCTCCTACAGCTCCATGTTGTTGGTGGAGGTTGTTGATAGTGACGACAACATGAAAGATTCACCAATCGTCTCAGTATATATACTGCAAATACACAGCAATACTCTCCTAATCAAAGTGAACCTTCCCTTCATCATTCTGTATCACAGAGTGAATGAGACATGATGTTAAATCACATTATGGCCTGATCAAGAACCATACATCTGTGTACTGTTGCAGAGATGATTCAACAAGTAAAATCTATTTTAGGGTTACTGTATAAATCAGACCTTATGCTGTTGGTCTTTATACAGCTAGTATTAATGCCTTGTATAAATAAATGCAGTATAAATTCAGCTTTAAAGAATTTCTTAAAATGGATCATGAGGTTTTTGTGACCTTAGCAAATGAAAATGCCCAAACATTACTGACTGAGGAATATGGGTTTCTGGGGGCTTCCTAGTAAAAACTAGAACTAAGTAGATTATTTCAAATCTGAAGGAGAGGTTGTTTTTTTGCCACAGAGAATCGGTTGCGATTGAAACCCAACCTGCCTTAACACTGCAGCAGCGTTTACACCTTCTGCAGCCCAGCAGCATCAAACCAAACACTTTTCCATCATTTCTAACCATCAGCCTGGGAATAATTAACAGATGGAAGAATCCCAGTTGTTGTTTTTCTCATCTCAGCATAACGAGGCCAACCGGCCTGACTGCTGGAGACAAAAGAGCTCAGCAGTCTGACTTCGCCCAGGGTGAACAATCTGACACACACACACACACACACACACACACACACAGACGGACACACATACTGATCTACAGCTGTGCTCCTGAGAGTGCAAATGAGGTAAGAGGTCTCAACTCTGCTGAGACAATTACGCCTGTTGTACGGTGTGTGTGAGTGTGTGTGTGTGTGTGTGTGTGTGTGTTGGTGTGTGTCTTAATTTTGTATGTGAGTGCCCCCTAGTGGACGAAGACTGCAGTTCAAGTGAAAGCAGACTAGCTGAGTATACATTAGCAACACAACAGCTTGAGGATATTGATTTATTGATTGAATTTCTGATGTTTTACTGAAAACAAGACGGATGCATGCTGTGAAGATTACTGGTTTAACAGTTTAACAGTACAGGTGTGTGTGTTTGTTTACTGCTGTCTGATGGTGAATCACAGTGATGATTAAAGACAACCCTCGTGTGTGTTGGTGACAAACAGCTTCACAGAAAATAGCAGCACATGCCATGACCTCCATTACATGTGTTTGTGTGTTTAGATGGATTACACTGGTGTCTAAACACACACACACACACACACACACACTGTATATAGGTGAATTCATTATTAAAAGAGAACAAACTGAGATGCAGTAACTATTGGGGTTAAATGCCAAAGTAATCACATTTTTTTGTACTTCTTTGTTGTTTATCTACCATATTATTATATAACAGATATGAGACATTCTAGCACAGATATTTGCTTTTAATGAAGCAGTACTCCTGTGGGCCACTAGATGGTTATAAAAAAATCTTGGGCTCCTTAGAGATCGATAAAAAAAAAAATTTTGCCACAAGATATTACAGTGTTTAGCCGTTTTCTCTTCTTTAAATGAGCGTCTCAGTGGCTGTAGACAGTTTTATTAAAAACATACAATGGCTTAAAAAAGGTAAATGTCTGCAAGTATTCAGAATACTTCATCCTTCAGTTTATCACAGACATTCACATTCAAAATCACCTAGGTAGGAAAAATTGTAATCTGAAAAGAAGCTGTCAAAATGGTCACTAGTAGTAAACCCAAAATCCAGATTCATTTTTTTTATTTTTGTGAACTATTGTCTGTTTTATATTTTTAAAATGTTTAGCCCCACCAAACACAAAATGTAACCTTTATTCTCCTACCTCCTTCCCTTTGTCTCTGTCCATCTCTCTCAGCACACCACCGTTCTTCCTTTCATTATCATCGAGATGCGGACCACCCACCATCGGTATCCCAGCAGGTCGTGGGGTCTGGCGGCAGTGTGTTGCTTTGGCGTGGGATACATTCTCTGGTACATAATCTTTGCTCTTTCCAACACTCAATAAACACACGTCCAGTTTATATATAGGATAATTAAAGAGTGGTTAACTTTGGCTAGATTAGGCCTGGCTTAGTTTGCGTTTAGAATCCTTTAAAAGGCTGATTAAGTTCAGTTAGGCTAATTCAGACCCACTTTTATTGTAGTATAATTTCATTTCAGCCTTTTTGAGTGTATGTGATGTTTTATCTCAGTTTAGTTCAGTTTTGGTTTTTGTTTAGTTCAGGAGTTGAGTTGGTATAATTTAGTGTGTTTTTTGTTTAAAGGTACAGTGTGTAATATTTAGAAGAATCTATTGGCACAAATGGAATATAATATAAATATATAATAGTGTATGATCAGCTGAAAATGGGAATCATTGTGTTTTCGTTACCTTAGAATGAGCTGTTTCCAGAGGGAGCGGGTCCTCTTCTCTGGAAAAAGTCAGCGAACACATACACATATTAATTATTTTAAGTTAAGTTAATTATTATTGAAGTCGAGGACCAGTTGATTTTCTTCCTTTGTTTTTCATCTGTGCAGCCTTGTGATGAAAATCTGACCATAGATCTGTTTTTTGTGTAGCTTTGGTTCTTTCGATGCTATCGAACATATAATTAACAGAGATCGTATCGTTTTAAATGCTCAATATCGGAAAAGTATTGAAGTATCAATACTTTTGACAACCTCAGTCATCCCAAATAAAACCTTTCCAGAATATACTCTACATTAACTCAAACTCTCTGCCCGTTCAGGACGTGTTGGGTGCACCAGGTGACAGGCGTGTGGGTGTACCCGGTGCTGGAGCGCATCACTCCGCTGGCTCGAGTCATCTTTTTCAGCGCGATGACCGCGGTGATTTGTGTTTTCTACACGCTCGGAGAAATCCTCAACAGCTACATCTGGGACCAGCCGCACACAGGTACGCAACGCACACTGTGTTCATCCATCCAATGTAACAGCACAGGTTAGAAGGTCGATAACATTGGTTATTTTTAACTTGGATCTTTTTACTGTTAGAAATGTTTTTACTCTCTCTACAGTACGTCTCTCCAAATCATATATGTAGAGGGCTAAAGCTCATTGAAAAGCTGTTAATCTCTTTTTTTGATTGTAAAAAATAAAATAAAAAACATGCAGTTAAAGGGATATTTATAGCCAGTGTTTGACTAAAAGATTTGAAAGCATGCAGGAACCGATTTGTATTAGCAGAATAAAGAGAGGAAATGTGTTAATTTGAGTGTTTATTTATTTGTATTTCTAAATGAAATCAGTGTGTTCGAATGTCTTTAGATAAAATACTTAAATAGATAAATATGATATGATATCCTAAAGGTGCCATCCACTCTCATTGTTAATAGCTCAGAAACTGCCATAACGTGTGGAAACAATGGCGTGGGCAGACTTCAATCAGGATTTGTTCTTAAAACATTGTTCTTCCGAATGTCTGAAGTCACATGTTAACTTTCAGACCGAAGGAACCTCTTTCGCTCTCACTCTAAAGTTTTGCTGTTAATAAACGTTTCTTATATTTGTCGGTCTGTCCGAGAAGTGATAAAAAGCAAGAAAGAGACGAGCAGAAACAGACGAAGCATCTGCCGACCAGCCGCCTCCCTCTTTCCCAGTCACACACACTCCCCCATCCATCTGCTCAGCAGGTCGGCAGGTAGCACTCCACCCACACCAGAGAGAGAAAATCTGCGTGTGACTTTCTAGACATCAAGTCTGCAGCCTTCGTCTCTAGTTACACTTAAAATACCTCCCACGCACACACACGCACGCACACACGCAGCTTTACAGTCTGCTGACTTTACAAAGTTCAATCTCCTTTCTTTTTTTCTTTGTCTTTTCCTTTCAGAAAAGGTCAAAGGTGAGTAATCTTCTCTCGGCGGTGCGGGCGTCGATATCGGCCTCAGTTGGAGAGAAGAGGACGAGTCGTTCCCCCGCCCACCCGAGTCAGCACAAGAACAGAAAACAACCGACCTCACCGGGAGTGGAAAAGACCATTACCTTTGAACTGTACCCATAACAATAACATATACAACAGAAAAACCATCAGTTAAATGTGAATAGAAAAAAAAGGTGGCGAATGAAGGTAAAACTTAAAACTCATCTTTTTTTGTTTTCCTGATTTTTTTGTTTCAATCATGAGCAACCGTGTTGCATCTGGCTTCTGTTATGTGGACTAAACGCACAAACATACATGTACACAACGTAAAACACTTAACACTGCACACACACACATGCACACAGGAACAGAAACAGTCTTCGTATTATGCTTTTCCGGTATGAACTATATATCAATGTGAATGGATTCCTACATACCTGCAAAACTACTGAACATCATGTGTTAAACCTCATTATTCATCTTATGAGTCACACTACATGTATGGAAGAAACTAGATGTTGGTATTAAATCAATAAAGTTTGACTTGAAAATAGTTTCTGTCCGTCCGTCCAGACGTTTCACCCCCCCCCCCCCCCAAAAAAAAAAAACCCAGCCACATAGCGAAAATGACTCCAGCCCAAATACAGCAATGAATTATGGTCCACAGGTGGTTCAGATCTGGTAGCCACATATGGCTCATGACATATAGCCTACGCATCTCCGCCAACTGTATGACCATAACTGACCCTGGGTTGGACCAGAGAAGTTTAAACACTGGTTCCAGATGTCTGCTTAAACTAAACCTTAATCAAGCCACTTCCTTGATACACCCGTATCCCTCTCCTCCTGTCAGCAATGCATGTGTATTAATGTGTAGACAAACAGTAAGATGAGAAAATTCAGCCAAGAACACTTGTGAACCATTGCCGAAAACAACAACAAAAAAACAGAGCTGAAACTTTTGGCTGTCATGGGCTACCAGATCTGGACCGTAAATCATTGCTGTATTTGGGCTGAGTGTGAGTGGTCTGTGCGGATCAATTTAGAGGATCCTCCCTGAAGCAGAGCCGTATCGGCTGCGTGTCAGCTCTGCCCCAGCATATGTGTGAAATTTTAATTGGACGCGGCAGGACCCCACAGGACCTGCTAGAGCGTCTCAGGTAAGACAAGCAACACGCCGCATCTTCATGAGTTTGACACCGGTTGCAAGTTGTTGCTGCTACCTCATTAGTTTTGATGAAACAAGTGCGAACGAGTGATTCTCAACATTCTTACGAAAGCGTCACGCGATGCTCACATGAGAACACAGTCTGACATAAAAATACCAGAGCTGAAAATGATTCAACTTCCAAAAGACTGTTGACTGACTTTCACCAGTCGGCAGAGGTTTTACTGACAGACCAATCGTTTAGCTGTTGCATGTTAAAGTGAATGACAGTTTAGTCATTAGTATGATCATAAACATATTTGATGAAGACTCAGCGTGATTCTTGCAATGTTTGAGTCGCACCCACATGGTTGAATGCACTTATTGTAAGTCACATTGGATAAAAGCATCAGCTAGATTGGAAAGTAATGGATGAGTTGAAAAAAATGAGTGATCAGCAAACAACGGATCAGATAACTGTTTGAGAGATGGAAAGGAAGACAGACAGGTGTGCCGTTTGGAAAGATGGAAATGAAAGAGAGGAAGGAAAATAGGAAAATGTATATGAATCATTAAATGAATAAAATAGAAATAAATTGCAATAAAATGATACCAAAAGCCACTGAAAGAAGGACAGGAGGAGGTAGAAAGATAAAAGGGTAGGATAAAAGGGCTGAAGGAAGGCAAGAAGCAGAAAGGAACAATATGAAAGAAATAAGGAGGAAAGAAAGGGAAGGCATGTAGTGACAGATAAAAACTCCCCCCAAAAAAAACCTTTAATGGGTAAAAAATTGGAGAAACTTCCGGAGGGATCCCTCTCCCAGGACGGACAGANNTGTGTGTACAGAATAGACCAACAGAGTACAATTACAGTACAGACAATCTGTATGACAAAATTAAAGATAGATTTTAAACATACGATCAAAGTGACAGATCAGGATAAGCTCACTTGGGTCATTTTGATGACAAACAACATATTTTGCCCTTCAGATAGAAGGAGTTTGATACACTGGGACTGCGTGCAGACCAGACAGACAGACAGACGGAGGCAGGCCGACAGCGAAGAGACAAAAACAGAGTGTTATTATCAGAGTCTGTTCTAAAGATATTCTGTGTCACTGACTAAAGACTGAGGCTGCACTTCAGAGTGTTGATGAGTGTGTGTTTCAGTGACGTTGGGAAGTTGCTAATCACAATGTGAGAGTTAATGTTTGGCCTCAGTTTCATGACTGGATGCATTCATGCGCTCGCTGGGTCTTTTAAAATTTAACCAGTCCTCCTATAACTTCTTTGCCAGCTCTCTATCACCAACCAAACCTCAAACACACATTCACCCCTAAAAACCCTGTTAGCAGGCGTCCTCTGACCAAATAAAATGGAATCAATTTAGAGGCCTGTGTTGTCCAGGTGTAAAGAGGATTGACGAAATTGAGAAGAAAGAAAGAAAGAAAAAAGCTGATGCAGTCCGTCTCCCAACAAAACAGGAACTGATGGAAGAAAGAGATAGCTGAAAACTCTAAATAATAGAGGCAAAGAAAGAAACAGCTGACAAGAGGTGAAACTTCAGCGGTGGATTTCTCAAGGTGGAGGAGGATGTGAACAAGGAAAAGAGACGGCTGAAAGAAAGGGAGCGTAAAAAAATTAAAATAAAGATACTTGATTAGCTCCAGAAGCACGACAAAGCAGTAAAACAACAGCAGTGACAGGACACAGAGGCTCTAGCGAGCAAGGCAACCCCCCCCCCCCCCGCGCGGAGCAGGAGGGCGGAGTAACCAATGGACACTTTTAGTTGCGTTCACTTTTTCTCATTGTCTGTAGACTTTAAAAACCACAAAACACAAACATCGCACCGCTCCTGTTCAACAAAAAACATCCCCCCATTCTGCTTCCTACTTAGAACAAAACAAACGCCCCTCCTCCTCCTTCCTCCTCCCCTCCTCTTCCTCCTCAGGTCATTTTGGTAGTGAGAATAATAAAATATAAACTTAATTTTCCTCTGGCAGTGTTGTTCTTTCACCTTTTACACAATATGACATTCTCATATTACATTTTTTGTTAGTGTTGGACAGGGGAGTTTGTAAGTGTGTGTGTAAATGGCATGGTGTGACTCCTCTTGCCTGGTCAGTTTGGAAAAGGAGAGTTGTGACACAACACCACTCTTTTCATTAGCGCTTAAACAGCTAACTCTGCACTGCTGCGATGTCACGTGTGTGTGTGTGTGTCGTCTCTTCAGTAACACGTCAACTCCTCCACTCTGAGGTGACACATTAAAACGTTCTGGAATATTCTGCTCTGCATTAATTAGCATACATTTACATGCTAACGAGCAGAGAGGAGCTGGATGCCGGCACGTGATTCAGTCGGGGAAAAAAACCACATTTTTATCTGTGATTTAATTCTGTTTAGAAAATGTGGGGCAGTAATAATGTTCATGTGACTTGTATGTGCTGAAAGCGTATGGGCTTTGTGGGAAACAGGCTGGAAGAAAGGAAGACAGGAGTGGAAAAAGAGCTACTGATGTAAAAAAGGAAAAAGAAGGAAAGAGGGAAGTAAATACGATGAGGAAGGAAGGAAGGAAGGAAGGAAGGAGCGATGTGTGAAGAGAAATCATGACGGGCCATTGAAAGACGGAGGGTCAAAAGGAAGTAAAAAAAGGATTAAGAAAGTAAGAAACATGATTTGCCACTGAAGGAATGAAGAAGAAAGGAAAGAAGGTG